TGAAAAGGGAGTGTGCCGTCATTTATGCATTAATGTAAGTTGTTATTCTAGGGATTTAATTAGTTCAACAAAATTTATTGAACATGCGAGACGATGAAATGATAATTTCGGGCTTACTGTGTGCTCACAACTAGGCGGAGGCCTGCAATAAATGTAGATCGGTGAAGGTCAATTCCACGTGAGTGTGAAACGTCAATTAAACATTTTCTCCTGGTTCAAGTCCATTTTATGACTGCTGCAAAAGGTTCTTCTGTGTCTATCCCCATATTAAAAATAGCAAACTCAAAATGTGTACTGTCAGGTCACACACTCACTATACCAGCCTACCGATGATAACCGACGACCGCATACTCCAAACCACTTGTAGATGAGTTCTTTCAAGTTGAACAACTGAAGAAACAGGAGGCAGTTAAGCTGCTCTATTTTCATTTGAACCTAAGCTGTTACAGGAGATCATGCAGGACGCCGTAAAGGCGGTGACCATGGCTAGCTAAACTTCTTCATTATGAAGGCAAAACCGCTGGGAAGAGTACGGTGTGAAGTTAACTCTCCTCATCTTCAACAACCGCCTCATACTCCGGCCTTCTTAGGCGGTTACGCAATGGCAAACGACCGATTATGAAGCTCTCTACCGATGCCAGTATAATTTTTGTTCTCTGTTTAGCCATGGTCGCTGCTGGGTAACGTTCCACCTCTAGAACACACTCAGTCGAGATTTGAATCCAAGGAATTTGCTCTGAGGAAAACCAAATTAAAACACCCGTAAATGAGTAGCTGTAATGTTGAGCTTCTAATGTTATGAGTATGGAAGTCTCATATTTTCTGGTCTCGGGGCTGGCGTATGCCGTCTGACCACAGCAAGCAGACCTAAACACCTATCGACGAATCGCAAGTTTCAATATGAGGCATTCACACTATTTTCTTTGGAGTAGGAACAGAATTTATTGTGGTCGAATGATTTGTATGATTTTTCATTGAGCCTTGAATGACCTCTGAGGCACTGAACTCCACTATGTAAGCGCGAAGAAGAGAATTCCCAACAACTATTGGGAGGAAGAAGTTACAGCCACGGGGCGACGAGATTATCCGCATGGTATTTCGGACTCGCACTCGAACGTTTCTCCAGGGAGTAAATTGTGTAAATGAAAATGTGAAGTTAAAAAAAGCACCGTTAAGCATGATGGTTAGTGGACCGCCTTTGAGTCCCAAGTCTCGTTTGCTGCACCGTTACCTGGTCGTCTTAGCTGTCCTGAATTTCAAAGCACAATAAGCCAGAGGCAGGTCATCGCATATAGTTATCTCATTCCGATTAGAGATAAAACTTCAAGAAACCCGCAGTCATCCTGCAGTAACCTTCCTGTTTTCTCGACTGTCTTGTCTGCGACCCAACCGAGTATTTTAGGCGACCACATCTGGTGTGAATTTCAATGCCATGGAGTCTCATAAACGCCAGTGGCATCAAATAGTCACGTCTGGTCTGTATGAAACGCCAGATTCGGCTGAGGACAAATGGCAATTGGTGGTTCATGGGATTTTCCTTATGAGCTAATTTTGCTTCTTTAAAATTGAACTTTTCATCACCTCTTGCACGCAGCTTGCGAAGTCGCCTTATCCTTGTCGACATTACCTCCTGAATATCACATTTTGAATTCACTCAACCAAGAAAAAGTTGCTGTAGATGCTGCATAAGCGTAGTGGGTCTTCAGGGCCCTAAAAGACGCTTGTCCTAAAAGTCATCTAATTATCGATTTTTTAAGATTCGTAATTGACCAAGTCACGGTCCATCAGGGTGAATAGAGAATTCCTTGCAAGTCCTGGATATCAGTGAGTCATGAAACGACAGCGACTGCCAAGCATTATATTTTTGAAAGGTCTTCCAAATTTTGCGGCACCCTCGGTGTTCAATCCATTTGATCCGCGTTTGCGCGAGGCCCGTAGGCAGGCTCGGCCAAAAGAATTTATCAGAACAGTCCTCAGCAGTGTCAGTACCACTTCTATTAAAAATAAAGGAGAAAGGTTGAATCCACACATAAGCCTTGTAATCAAGCCAGTCGTTGATCAGTGCCAAAAAGATGATCGCGTTCGCTTTTCAAGGCAGGAGGTGTCCATTCTGTTGCAGATGTTCTACCGCCTGGTCGGCACCGAACACCGAGACTTAACCGCCAGTGAATTTATTGACTTTCTTCACACAACACTGGGAATCTCGAAACCTGAATCGCTTGTCGGGCTCCACCGGGCAGCCACGCATATAGCTCACAGACCCCGACGTTTGGGTTGGAATCGAACTGTAAGCGATTTCGAGTTTATCCTCTTCCTCTCCTATCTACTGCGCGGTTCGTTGGCTGAACGCGCCGAACTGGTTTTCTATGCACTAGACCAGGATGGAGATGGAGTTCTGCGGAGGAGTGTTGAGTTAACAAACTTCCTCAAGGGCAGCTTTGATCTTTCCATAACGGTTGCAAACCCAGAGCTGGAGGGCAACATACCCATTCGCGACACTATTGACTACATCAGCAAAATAATTCTGGACGGGAGACCGGAGGGGATCCAACTCCCTGAATTCATTAACTTAGTGGAGGAACAACCTTGGGTCCTTGAGTCTTTGCTGCCCTGCCTACCAGAAGAACTGCAAAATATATCCTTCCAGACACTCCAAGGGCCCAACTTTCAGCTACCACTCATAGACACCCCGTCCCCGAAGTCCCTTTCAGGTAAAGGAGTCAACGGAAAGTTCGTTTCGTGGCACAGATAAGCTGACTATTTTTTCACACTCAGATAAGACGCTGTCCGTCACAAATGACGAAGACGATCGTCTTTCAATTTTATAGATTTTTAAGAGAATAAAGTCTCTTAAGTGAATTGTCTCCACCTCTTTAATCGGGTAACAGCATTTCTAGCTTTAGAGAACTATAAACAACTGATTCAGAAGGCTCTTCAGTGGATATAGGTTTTATTACTTTTATCTCTAATTTTTACAGCTAAGGTACACTTATACCTGGAAGAAAATTACTAGACAGTGAGGCTAATTCTCAGTCCATGAGTTTTCCGGAAATTTTCAGAGTGGGCGGGTGACCTCTGGAACGATATTTATGTTGGGTGGAAAATAGTTGTCTAGTATTTTGAGTTAATCTGACTGCACTCCCTCAGGCAATGAACTTTAGGTCATGGAAACGTCAGGAAATCGAAGAAACTATTTTGTGCAAAAGTATCTTATTGTTATTACTACCACGCTGTGTTGCGTGCGCTGCTGTATGTACTACCTGTGGTTCCGTTGTGTTCTACAGACCACCAAAAAAGCTTCATTAACTCCAACGGGTTGCTGGTGTCTACAAGGCAGGGAAGGAGCCACCATCTTCGAATTGCCCTTAGTTTCGTACGGATATATTCGCTTACGTCGGAAGATTCAGTATCTACGAGCCTGAGTCAAAGCTGGCTGATCCACGAACAGAGATAGATGTTTCTTCGGGTTCTGGTAGGATATTAAACCCAGCCGAGGCCCTGCAGAGTTTGGAAGGAATCTAGACATCGGAAGGTTAGTAGAAAGACGGTGGGCAGCATAAAACGCAACCAACTGCGCAAATGAGTATAAAAGGGAAGAATTCGTGTGGGACCACAGCGGGCAAAGCCATCCAAACAAGGTGGACGGTAATAGTTTATCCAAAAGTCTGCCGAAACGTCCCTCAAGTAATACTCCTAGTGGACACCTGGAGAACATGGCCGATTCTCCAGATTTGGAGCGTCTTTGCTTCTGAATAGGTGATAGAAATGTGTTTTTGTTTAATGTCAAATTCTCAGGTCATTTTATATACAAATACTCACGACTTCCGTTTTAAGTCGACTTCCTACCTAACGCGCTGGACTGGGCGTCAGGCAGCTTAAGAGTCTCACGAACCCTGAAGTAGCAAGCTTCAGTTGGTTTCGTAATAAATAGTAAGACCTCGCAAGATGAAGCATGCACTACGCATGGGCAACTCATCACTGTTCTTGTGGTTAGAGTGAGTCATCTCTGACAATTAACGGGAGTTCAAGTTTATACTTCATGAGCCCAGAGTTTTATTGAAGAGCACATCCACAAAAAATGCATTTCTCTCAGTTCAGGGAAAATATTGTGGAACAAGCACTTTTTGCCGCTTCTAACGGGTTATAGGAAACTGAAGTTCTGTTCAGGTGTATTATATTCTAGAGTAAACAACAAGTTGAATCCAGTTTGTCTATAATCACACCTATCTGGCGATGCTCCTTCGTCGCTGTAAAGAGAGCTTTCAGAAGAGCTAGCCGAGCCACTTGTCATCAGATTTAAGCAGTCGTTCGATTACGGCAAGCTCCCACACATATGACATCTACCAAACGTCGTTGCCGATTAACAAGCGAGTTTTAGGGCTACAGGCGCATATATATCGACCGGTCATTTTAAGACGCGTATGCTGTACGATGACGTAAATTATTCCTAGGAGAGAGCGGACGACTAATTTCTGTTAATGACTTACCACATGACACCTAACTTAAAAATATCCCAACCGTAAGTGAGGAGTAATCGAATGCTTTGAATGCCAAATGCGTTAGACGTTGTCTATGTGAACTTCAGCGAGGTGGCTAACTGCTTTCCAAACTAGCGGCCCTTCAAAAGTTTGCTGACTTAAGTTTTCGATGCAAATTCTGTACTGGCTAAGATCAGGTGCCTGCACACCCAACAAAGAGTTACGATGGGTGATATGCACCAACCTGGGTTCCTGTCAAAGGTGGTTTCTCTGAGGATCCGTTCTCTGGCAGACCCTTATGCTAAAAAACATCTAATTAAATAAATAAAGTCAAATCACAAGTGACTCCTTTTGCGGATGACCTTGGACTCTGTAGGACTATGAAGGACGTAAGCGACGCCATCACCCTGCACAAACGAGTCACATAACTGTAGGTAACAGTGGCGCATGAGACTCGGCCCTTCGAAGAGCGTGACCGTAGATTTGGTCCGCCCCGAAAATCTCCGGCAAAACTTCTTTGATGAAGTTCACTTAAAGAGTACAATGCTCAAGGCGATCTTGACATTTTCATAAAAGGAACCCCAGAAGAGTAACGAGTTATGAAGCACAGCGACACCTCTAGTTAGGCCACTGAGGACTACAAGGAATGCGTTTGTCAACCTGCGAGTCATTGTATTTACCGATGAAAGCTTGAATGTCATGGTTAAAGAAGCACAAGTATATCATATAAGGAGGTCGGAGGCGCGCCGCCTTGTTCGAACTGAAGCTTCTTGAATTCCCTCAACGAACGTCTGTCTTAGATCGCTTTCATCCCATTTCTAGGCAGGATAAACGTTACCCTTAATACGGTAATCCAGTTGCTAAAGGTCTAGACTACCATATACTCCTACCACGCAGAGGACGCTGCGGTCAACTCTTCCGGACATGGGTTAAATATCTAGAAGCAGGTTTCCGCGTCAGATTTGTAGATTTGCTCCGTGTTCTTGCTACGGGTTGTGCGGAATTGGAGTGCCTAGCCTGTCGTCTTAATTGTGGCTGAGACGGTCGGTACCCCCAAGAAGCACCTTGACAATCACCAGTCTAGAATATAACCCTGCTGAAAAGATGGTGCATCTTAAGAACACGTGATAACTCACCATTTCCCAAGGGACACGAACGTGATATTATATACACAGCCTACTAACTACGTCCTAGTAACCGGATATTTCCGCATGTGATAAAGGGAGCATGGTAATTAACTCTAATTTATCCACCGGACCCAAGTATTAAAAACTCGGCGGCCTCAGTTGGGTTCTAACCTATGACAGCAAGTGTGAGGCCTATGTATGGCCGACGTTTTGACAAAATTAGCTACGAAGCCCGACCGACAACAGGGAGTTTAATCACATTTGGGAAAATTCACCAGCCCAACCTACTGATGACTGCTCAGTCAGGGTTTCTCTAAGTCCTCATCTCTGTCTCCATTGTAGATCTTTAATGGAGGCTTTGAGGCCAACGGCCTGTGTCTCCGCAGATATTGACTTATGTTGCACTGATAACCTTTTGGAGATCTAGAAAGTAGACATTTTTACAGCAAGTAATATCTAGTAATGTTAACGTTTTATTGAGGGAAGCATGTGCTACAAAATAGAATCGAGCCGCTGACCCACAAATGCTATCCTGGACACTACGCTCGAGCTGACGCAGTTATGCCAGACAACGATACAAATTAACCATTTTTCCCGCCTGACCAGCAGGCAGAACCTGTTTTCAGCCTCAAATCTCAATTCGAATCTAAGGTCTTCCCGGGCTGACGACTACGAGAAGTGATTACTCTACTCCGGACAGGCCGCGTCCATATTAGCTCTGAAGTGTGGGAGAGGGGAGGAAATTTCAGCTGAATTCTGTCAACTTCAATGAGGGAAAAGCCCGGTTTTTTGTTGGCACGGGGTTTTGTTGTTGTCCACACTCCTGCTGAATTGTCCACAGTGTTTGTCCAGTCACAGCCCCACAAGTGCTCCTTGGGATGGATCGGAATGAGAAACTTGCCCTTTTCCAGGAGATAATATTCGAATATCATCCCCGGACCTCGGAGGTGTGGACTAAGGCTCAAAATGATTGAACTACGCCAGAAGTTAATCACACATCACAGATACTACAGAAATGTTTCCTGATATCCCCGAAATGTAGTATTTTGAACAAAATGAAGAAGCATTAAGTACAAGTCTGGTAAAATTATTATGGATGTGGAGCGAATAAAAACACAAGAAGTTAGCTGGAAGCATCACGAAACTTGAAGAAATAAAGCAGTTCAGGTATAAAAGTTCCCATAAAAATTGTTCAAAACTAAACGAGGATCCTTGCGAATTCTTTATGTAAGCTAGTTAGGGAACTCGGACTTTTGTTAAAGCTAGAATTAGCTATAAAGTGGCTTTTTAGTCATTTGAAGAGTCGACATGTTCACGATTTGACGCTACACTTCTAATTGGGTTGACGGATTCATAAAATATGAATTCAAATGAAAAATGAAGTTCTTGAACTTCTGCCGGGACTTGTCGATACAAGGCGTCCTCAAAGTAGAAGTGTGACGAAAGTCGAGGGACATGCATCCTTCTTCTTTCTCTCATTTTCCCATCACTAATTCTGTCCTCATTGGCTTATTGGTCCTTTTTTAGTTCTTCCCGTTTCTTTCTACTTCTTCCAACGACTCCATCAAAAGGAAGGGCAACTTCCGTACTCAGAGAACTACCAAAGCGCCATCAGCTACTGGCCAACTTTTTGCTCTTCCTATTCCTTGCTGGCAAAAACAAATCAGTGTATTTGTTACTAATTTTTTGAAGTAAAAATCCAAACGTGAGATGGTTGCTATATCTTGAAAACAGTCAACAGCCACCTAGACCGATAGGCCGATCATAACAATGACGAGGTCGATCTGCAGCTATGCCATTCGCGTGAACCTATTTATAGTGAAGGAGACTTAGGTTGCACTCGTCTAACATGCCCCTATCATACCCACCCAGTTTCGGTAGCAAGACAAGGTCAAGAAAAACGGAGTTGGGCGTGGGCGGACTAATCTAAGCAGTCCATCTACGCGTGCCACACACGATCCCTCTCCTAAATCCTGGCATGCGGGACCTCACTCAGGTACGACAGTTCGACCGTCGATTTCAACGATGCCCACCGTGTGCCCACAGCTGCAGCAGCGGTGGGAGCAGGGACGGTGACTTGCGCAGGGGTTTATAGTGCGGGTAGACTTGCGCTGCATCTACCTACACTCTCTCCTCCTCCCCCGCCTGAGCCCGGTGTCAAGACAGAGTCAAGAAGACCGGAGACGAGGGAGGCCGCAGGTGGATGGCTCGGACGGATCCTCACCTTGGCGTTCCACCACACGCCCTGGTCCACACAACAAATAACCAGGATTTTGACCAACACAACAGAGATTGGAGGCTAGCACGGCCGAAGCCGCGTCTAGGCGTGCCGCCGACGCCTGATTCGGATCCCACACTGTGATGGGAGTGCCATAAAGGCCACATTAAAAAGGAGCCATTGCAGCCTGACTCTCAGACCGCCTCCAGTCAAGGAGGAGGTCCAATTTACCCCGTCAGTTGGCAACCTTCCAAGCCACGGCTTTTAGCGCACCGTGATAGCTTCAAGCGCGTCAGATTGTTTATAGTGAGGAGAAAGTGCGCTGAGTCGTCGACCTCACTCTCCCTTCCCATTCCCACACCCCAGTCGCTGTCCGAGCCGGTCAGTAGACTGGAGTAGGAAATGGGCGCGGTGGCTGACACGGTCGACTGACCATGCCTGCGTGCGCCACAGCACGACCTGGTCCCCCATACACACAAACACCAGGATTTCGCACAACGGGGGTTGAACGGCGTGTCTCTCACTTGCGTGAGAGGGCCGCGGAAGATACTGTTTCAGCCCGTCGCCCAGCCCACCAGTCCGCCACTCCACACAAAACACACACAACGCGACGAACTGCGCGAACCGAGTGCGGGCGTCAATCAGCAGCCATCCTATCCTCGACGCTTGACGTGTCAAGATAGTCTCAGACTCAGGTCATCCGTGCAGCCGAAGCCGCATGGGGACCGAGTCGAGATGCACACTTCCCACTTGCGTGGAAGGTGGCAGTTGGGTGCATGCATGGTGGAGGAGGGTAGGGAGTGTGTGGATGTGTGGTGTAGCCGGCGGTTGTCTACCGCAGGTCGTCGTGGATGCGCATGTGACCGAATAGACCCATGCGATGCCTGAAAGTGCGAGGACAGTGTGGGCAGTTGAGCCGAGCTTGGTGGGTATAGGTTGGTGCTCCAGGCACTGGTTCGCCAGTCTCTGTGCGATGGATTCGCAAGTGACCGATCAGGCCGATGCGAGAGGTGAATGTGCGTGGACAGTGTGGGCATGAGAAGTCGGCGGTGTCGGTGTCAGCTACAGAGGAGGCGGTGATGGTGGTGGTGGTGATGGGCGCGCAGGGCGATGGGGCGAGGGTGGGATTGGGCGTGGTGGATCTGCTGGATGTGGTGGGTGTGTCGGAGTTGCAGACAGTTCCGCTCTCGTGGATGCGCATGCGGCCGAATAGGCCCATGCGATGCGTGAAGGTGCGAGGGCAGTGTGGGCAGTGGAGGCGAGTGCGGTGGGTGTAGGTTGGTGCTCCAGGCACTGGTTCGCCAGTCTCTGTGCGATGGATTCGCAAGTGACCGCCCAGGCTGATGCGAGAGGTGAAGGTGCGATCGCAGTGAGGACAGGTGTAGTCCTGGTCCTCACCTCTGAGGACGGAGGTTGCAGGGGTTATGCCTGTTGTTGTGTCAGGTATGTCTGTGGTGATGTCGTGCGCGACAGACGCCGGAGCGGCCGTCGTTGTGACACCCCACTCAGGTAATTAACCATGTGACATGCGGGGATGCTGTAAAGACCACGTTACACAAGAGTCACTACAGCGTGACTCTCGGACCATGAGAAGGACCGAATTATTCCGTCATTTGGCAGTCTTCCATGCCACGACTCTTACTGTGATAAATTTGTTGTAGTGAGAAAAACGCCAATTTGTCATGAAGAAATCTATCTGGGTAAGATGTGGTTTGGTAGCCCCACCTGATGGATACAATACTGTTGGGGTTAAGAGTTAGGGGTTAGGATTAGGGGTTGGCGTTAGCGGTTAGAGTTTAGAAATAGAGTTCAGGGTTAGGGTTAAGGGTTAGCGCTACTATATCTCAACCATTCAAAGTAAAACCGCGCATTCCCAATAGCTATTCTTTTGCATACAGCCACTTGACCTCGTCGCCTGTGCGTTCCCCGGTCCCAGCTGTAAAAACTCCTAGTACCACCGGTCCCGTATTAGAGGTGACTGGGGTTTGTTTACTTCAAATGGGGCAACATAACCACATCCGACCTATATCTGGGTATCGACCACAATTTCTCCTCCCACTCCCAGTCGCCAGTGGCCTGTCCACCGTAGGTCGACTGGGAATGCGACTGTCGCGCTGGTTGACGTAACGTGAAGTCGCCGACTATTATGCGCAACACATGGACTCGGATTCCACAGGGGGAAAAGTACCACAGAGCTCAAACTAAGCAGGAGCCGTTATTGTCTAGCCCTCACTCGAGAGGAAGGCCAAGTTATTTCGTCAAGTGGCAGCTTTGGAGTATCGGGCGTTTTATAGTGGGTGGCGCGTTATTTAGAGTAACAAGTGAGCGTCGAGTCTTTCGGCTCTGGATACTGTCGTTTCTCCCTTCGGATTTTAATGACTGACAAACTGTGCAGAAAATTTTAAGGTATTATCTCCTGTATGCAAAAAATCCCCATACGAAGTTGAAAGGTCATTATAGTGAGGAAACTTTATTCTCAGAAAGGAACTACTCCAAGTGAACCGGGTGAGAATTTGCCAGTTAACACCAAGGCATTCTTTCGGTCGACACACCGGTCTACTGATTACATATCGCATCAGTGTCATACCTGATTATCTCTAAAACGATCATGCCCCACACCTAGAAGTTTGGTTTATTGTTTGAGTCCTTGTTCCAGATGGGAATGGAGAGGTCTTCATGACTAGCAAATGGCATGCCGTGCTGAAGATATGCAATAATCTTTGGACAATCATTCGCGTTTTCTGAGGACCTAACTCTTACCACGAAAGGACTCTTGGGCCACTCATTGTTCGCCTATAATACTTCCTTGAAGCAATATTTCCCCGGGATGAATTTGAAGCAGGCAGAGACAGCAGAACCAATTACCAAAAAGAAATAGTATGTACTAAAGTTTCCAAATCTGTCTTCTGCTCCTGGCTTAGTTTGTGTTCATTTGGTCAATAATGTTATTCAAAAGCACTGTTTTCCAGCTCGGATCATTCGAGTGCCCTGTCGGATTGTTCTCTGTCTTCGCCATCACTCCCAGGACCTGCGCTGTGTCGCAAAGTCTAGTCTGATCATCCAAAAAGTGTTTCACTTCCTTAACTGATGAAAAAATTAATAGAAATCCAATCTAAGTTGCATTGCTATTTCGCAAGAAGCAGTTGATGTATTTATTTATCTAAACTGTCAGAAGAGCTGTGAAGTTGTAGATTTGCCTCTTTCTTACCCTAGGTGAGTGACAGGACGTGGAATAAAACAGACCTTCTGAAGCAACTGGAGTTCAGTATCAGTGCATTGCAGAGAAAGTAGGCGTGCACCTTTGAAATCCCTATTGGTTATATGCAGAGGAAATGGAAAGGAAGTAACATGAAAGAAATACAAGGAAATAAAAAAACTGTGCAGATGAACACAGAATTTCATGCGTTAACAGCATTGCATTTACAGTTTCACGCCTTTGATCGAAGGTGAAAGGTTTGCCTGTAGATTTGAATAATTTGTCATATCGAACATGGCAAATCATCTAGGGAACCAACACATAAAAATACCTGGTTGGCTATGACAAAGGCTTCCTCTTGAGTTGTTAAAACATCTGTCACTGTGAAACGGCAATGGATAACATTGGTTTTCGGGGAAGCACTCTTCTCCTTTCTAGGTATGGTAGTTGTGTTGAACAATTTATTTACTTCAGTCCTGTAATTTGCTAAAGACGTTTTGCATGAGGAGCTTTTCGATTTATACTTAATTACTTTTTAAATTCTGCGCACGGTCTAGTGTATATTGTAAGCTTCAAAGAAACCGTAGCTGCTTACCTCAATCTGAAGTCAGTAAAACTTGGCGAAGAACCGCTCCTTGATCTGCATACGTCAGGAAGAGGGGAAGGCTTAGGATTTAGGTCCTCACCGGAGTTGACGGAAAAGAATAAGCAACAACAGTTATGTAGGCCTTAGGCGTCCAGATGTGCACTTTCTCAAGCAACTGTTTGTATCCGATTGCAGGCCTGCCATACAAGTTTCGTTGGAATCACATTTCTCGGAGCTTGACTTAATGTGCAGGCCTATAAAACGGAGTATGAACGTTCGTATAAGGAGTGAGCGCATGTTATCGCTCATCACACCGGAGTTTTGTGCCCCGGAATTTTGCCCCAATTGTTAATTGCCGCGTTTTCAGTACGGTTTTCCATCTACACTGACAAACCTTGAATTCAGAAGTCTATCCCATATAAGGCTACTGCCCAGGATCAGTATCATCACCGAGGATGTGAACGCGGTCACAACAACAGAATAGTTGGCAAAAGACCAGTGACCGCGGATCAAAACCAGGCAAAAAACTTCGTCAACAGGATGTGCTTAAACAAATAAAATGCTAGTAAGCCTTTTTTATAAATTGCAAAATGGGAAAAAGTACTTGGGTGGGGTTGCAAAAAAGTGAAGGAGGAAAGTAATCCAAATCTAATTTTTACGGTTTGGTGCGCTTTCTTAGGAGTAAGTATATTTCTAGTTGGCTGAGTCAAATATGCTTGAAAAAAATGACCACTCATTACTGTCAACTTGTTCCATCAGTTTTCGACCTACATTTAAACGTACTGATATTCCATAGAATGGATGCACGAAGATTTCATTTCTTATAAACCTTTATTATTCACGTCTTCTACAAACGCCGTGCATACAGGAAAGAAACATCCTGATTTTTAGAAGTACCTATGCTTAAGCAGGTGTATTAGATACTCGCATGGTTTTCGTGCTGCCTATTATCTTCCTGGTTATTAATACTGCTGACAAGTTTCATAACATGCCCTGTCTTGACTGGAATATTATATGAGCGCCAGAAGGTGATATCCGTAGTAGCATATGGTTTATGTGAAGACAATTTGAAGGAAAGGAACGAGCCGTGCATTGATGACATGAGGGACTACTTCAAACTCAATTTGGACTTCAACATAAATAGGCAATAGGAAACGTTTTAAGACTGAAATATTCCTTTGTAACAAGTGTCGCACTTGAATTTGGCGTAATTACTTCCAAAATGAGCGCAAGAAGTGAGTCATAAGCGCATACTTTCGACAAGATGTGATCCCATTCGTGAAAACATCGAAAATCAGTGGGGACTGTAGACTAACAAAATAATGTAAACATTTAAGAAATCATGTCCGGCAAACGCACGCATTCAATCATTAATCATCAGGCCTGTGCAGTAATATAAGGGAGGGCAGAATAGCAAATGTTAAGCAACCAATAAAAATCAGTATGGAGCAGAGGGTTGAGGGTCAGATTTTAATTCTATTAAATAGTAGTTTATTTCATGGGTGGACCTAAGACATCTGAATGGAAGAATGTTATTTAAAGGCTATTGTTCTACCATGTGGGAACTAGCAGAGGGATGTGAGAGTGAGGCTGACAGGGAAAACCTGTCCTCACAGAACATGGACACACTCTTCGTTAAAATGTTTCTGACAGGTCCATCATGGTGCGGCACTAGTCGCGGCTTGGAAACGGGCCACGTGTCAGATGAGCTGGACCAACACGGGGGCCACATCGGATTCTGGCAGGCGTTATCCTTGCGCAATAACAAATGCCAACATTTACGGGATGCGCTGGCAGACCCTGTTGTAGGCAGTCGTCACACAACTGGGACCACTGCCACCATCCAGTTG